CTTTTAAAATGAGGATTATACCGGTGATCTGTGGTTTGGTCCTCTTTATTTTTATACTTCTGATATACTTAAACAAACTCCTCATCCCCAAACTCACACAGAACTTACCCAAACCCAAACAGATCTACCCCAAACCCAAACAGATCTATCCCAAACCCACACAGATCTTCTCCAAACCCCCACAGATCCACCCAAAACCCACACAGATCCACCCCAAACCCACTCCGAAAGCATGTGGCGTTCAAGTGGAGGACGATCCTGGGATTAAAGTCGGGAGCCTTCACACATATGTGATCGGCTCTTATATGGATCATCGTTTCAACGTGAAACAGATAAAGATGATTGCTATCGTTCTCCGTGATGAGAAGGTGACGTACAGGTGTGTGATGTGCTGCGAAGGGAGGAACGTGACTTCACCAGCCGAATACATTATTCACTACGACCACTTTGGTTTTGAGTACGGCACTGCCACTATCACATGCCAGATCCATAGCTCGTGTTCGACACCGACGCATGTTGCGTTAACAGCCAGTGAGATCTCGGACAGCATAACATCCTTCCAACCCATTAGAAACAGAGACGTTCCAACAGTCTTCCCGTATTCGTTTACAGTCTGCATCTCTGTCATGTATGACTACGAGAATGTGCTGGGATTAGTCCAGGCGATGGAGATGTTCAGACTGCTTGGTGCTCAAAGGGTGGTGATATATAAAACCAACTGTGATTCAGACATACAGAAGGTTCTGGACTACTATGTGAAAAGTGGTTTAGTGGAGATCATCCCATGGACGATTAAAAAGCACATCAATGTGTCTAATGGCTGGAGGAAGAGTGACTCACCTGGTCAGCTGCATTATTATGGGCAAATTCCTGCACTTAATGACTGTGTTTATCGTTACATGTACCAAAGTCGCTATCTGGCTCTACATGACATGGATGAGTTCATTCTGCCTCTCAAGGTGAAGAGCTGGACAGATCTGTTGCGTGAGCTTGAGAACACGTATGGCACTAATGTGGGCTTTGAGTTTGAGAATAATATATTCCCTTGCACAGCAAACCCTGATTATGGACAAAAAAAGTGGAAAAAAGTAAAGGGTATGAATATTTTAAAGTGTAAAGAGCGAGTTCCAATCCAACCCGATATTTTCAACAATTTCAAGATTATAGTAAGTCCTCAGCTAGTTCTGAAGGCTACTGTACATGGCCTGCTGGAAACTGTGAAACCTGAATCCCACACAGTAAGAGTGCAGAACTCTATCGCTCGGATGTACCACATGAAGTCCCCATACCCAACGAACCAAAACCTTATAAAAGATGATCATGTAAATGACTATGCCAAAGATCTTGTGCCTGCTGTTTCTAAAGTTCTACGGGACTGTGGATTCATTAATGAATGAATTGTTGCGAGTTAGTAAAAAACATTTGATTCAGAAGTATTAATAAAAATCATGAATGGACAGTCTACATGAGGTAAATTTTCTTTTCAAGGTCCTCTAGGTGCGAAGACTGTCTCCCTCCACCCTGAAAGTGTACATTACCGCTATCGCCGTACATCACGCAGTTGAGGGTGAGTCCATGGGGAAGCACGACCTGATCATCAGGAGCGAGGAGACTGAATCCTCCTCTCCCTCCTCTCGTTCCCTCCTCAGTGATTTTAACTGCCCTGCAGAGTGCCCGTTTGAGCCTCTGCAATCAGTTCCTATCAGTTAAGTCAGTGCTCCTGGTTGCATTGGCCTCCATTAAGAGGGTAGGTGACCTGCACGCATTTTCCATTGACGAAGCATGCCTGGAGTTCTGGCCGCCTACTCTCACATGATCCTGAGACCTCGGCCTGGATATATGCCCAAGGTTCCCACCACTCCCTTCCGGGACCAGGTGGTGAACCTGCAAGCGCTGGCCCCAGAGGAGGCAGACCCAGCCTTGGCACTTCTCTGTCCAGTACACGCCGCGCCCCCCATGCTTACGAAGACAGAACGCAGTGCTTCAGGGCCTAAGAGCAGCTATTTGTCTGTTATGGTGGGAAGCTGAAGGGAAAGGCTCTCTCCAAGCTAAGGTTGTCTCACTGGATAGTGGACGCCATAGCTTTGGCTTACCGGCAGCAAGGCCGATCGTGCCCCCTTGATGTGACTACCACCTACATCCGGAGTGTGGCCTCCTCTTGGGCTCTAGCGTATGGCGCCTCGCTAACAGACATCAGCAGAGCTGGGCGACACCCAACACATTCGCCTGATTTTATAATCTCTGAGTAGAGCCAGTGTCCGCTCGTGTACTTACTTCAACTTGCCAGCAACTGGACCCGCTCAGGTGTTTTCGATTCCACGGACTAGATACGTGCGATATCAGAGACTATTTACATAGAGACATGCCACTTCCTCAATCCTTAATATATGTATAAGGAAAACCCGTAACACCAAAGATGGCGGTTGTATGCACATGTCCCGCCCCTCCCACTGGACTGCTTTTAACAGTCAAGCCGGGAAAAACATTAATCTGGTTCCACCGACGCATGCGCACAGTTGAGGTTTGCGACAGCTGTTTGAAAAGGCGGCAGATTTGATATGCAGTGTATGTGTGCGTTGTGTAAATATCAGACATCCCAAGTCTCCCAGAAGTTCCGGGTGTCTCCCGCAGATTGATAGCGGCTCGCTGATGCCCGCAAATTAGTTCATCTCCCGGAATCTAGAGCGAACGAGCAAGAGCGCACACATAAGGTGCGTTCAGTTGGACCGTAAGTGGACTGCGAAGTGGACTTCACAGGGTATTTCGCCATCTTAAGTGAGATTCCAATTCGAAGGGAACGAAGATGTTCAGTTCAAAGGGCACTGCAAACGGCATAGGGAATAAGGGAACATCGATACATCACTTCACAGGAAGTCAGTGAAGTCCACTTCAGCTGATATACCGTGTTCAGGGACTGGGAGTAGGGAGTGAACACTGCGTAGGGACCCTGTCGAATGGAACGCACCTATACTGTGTTTCAAACTGTGAGAGCGAGAGAACCCTTGCGCATGCGTAGTAAAAGTATGACCTGTGGGGAAAACACTGTTTTAAACCTTATTTTGGGGCAAAGTCATCAAACTTTTTACGCGATTTTTATCATATTTTACTGCTGTTTCTAAACATGCAGTTTTTATGTCCTGGTGACCAGTGAAAGTGCAGTTCTGACTCTCTGCCTATTCATTTAGATAGGAGCCTGGTCTTGTTAGTCCGAAATAGCTGCCCGGAGGCGTTGCCAAGATGGCGGCCAAGTGGCAGGACTTGCCTAAAAGGACTTTGGCGACACCCAACACATTCGCCTGATTCTATAATCCGCTCGTGTACTCTTTTCAACTATAGCCAGTAACTGGACCCGCTCAGGTGTCTTCGCTTGCTCTTGTTCGCCATTCCACTCCACGGACTGGATATGTGCGATATTCTCCTCAGGTGAGCTTCCCGCCAACCCTGAGTTCCTCCAGCACTGTTTACGTCAACGCCAGTGTGCATTGCCTGCCCGTTGGCTAGGTGCCTCCCCTGAGCGACCCCCACATGGTGTATTTCCACTGTAAGCCTCTCTAATCATGTTTTGCCCGTGGCAATCCACCTTGCCACCCCTGGGGTTGAAATATTCCACCTGCTGTTTATAATGCCGAGTCTCTCCGACCAATTTTGTAATCGCTTAGTATTACAGCATTCCGTGCAGAACTCAAAGGATCCGATACATTTTCTTTTTTATATGATGTTTTTTCAAAAGGGAAATTTCTCACAGTTGCTGCTTTACTTTTCATAATTACAACTTTATTATATGTCACAATCAGAATTTAATTAGACTGTATTTTACGGTGTCCTTTTTATATTTTAGAGGCATAAACAGATGGTTAATGTGCAAGTTGGTAAATTGACATCATAAAAAATGCTGAACTGATTCCCTCTTTTATGAAATGCTGCAAATTATATTGTGATGTGTAGTAAAGTATGATTGTAAATTAATTCTGTGACCAATGAAATATAGTGCAATACGCCTTTACTTGACCATTACACATGCACTTGTTAGTAGAACTATATTTGTTTTTTCTTCATGACTACTTCTGTACAGCATCTGTTAGTGTGTAACGGTGGACAAGTTGGGGAAATCAGGTTGGAATTTATAAAGCCTTAAAGATCAGCAAAGATTACACGATCTTTTCTTTTTCTCTTGTCAGTGAGTGAATTTGAAACTGAGACAGCTGCAAAACTAAAACAGTGAAACACGTTTTTTTCTTTTCTTTTCTGAGCAGCCAGGTGTCATTTCTTTGTCGTGCCTTTTCTTGCACACTTTTATAAATTAAAGCAAAACTTTCGTTTTTTTTTTTTTTTACTAAAATATATCCACATTGTTTCCCTGGTTGATTAATCATGTTACCTTAAGACAATTGGTTTGTGTTAGAAGTTTTCTGAAATATTATGTTTAAATAGGCAAAGTAAGCTTTAAAAAAAGCTACGTAAATATATAAACTCACTCAATAAACAATTCAGTATTCAGTTTTGCAGACAGTGCCAATTTTGGATTCCTCTTTTTTATCTCCATAATTAATTTATTGATGAATTCACTTTCATTGTCTTTATTCATTCTTGGACTGTTTGGCAATCCTAAAAAAACTTTTCAGGGTAACATGCTTAACAGGACATGCTTTACATAACAGGGTAACTGCTTATGTAGCCAACATCAGCCTTCACCACAATAGCGGTTTCTGTAGTAGTATTACACTGTGAAGCCAGTTATGAACAGGCAGATTTCTGCAGAATAATATCTATTACCACCATAAAACTAGTATGCTTACATTGATTTAAAATTTACTTAGTAAATCCATATTTATTTATTATTAAAATAACTTCTATAACCCACAGTAAACTAGCCTTGAATTCAAAACTCCTGAGAGCATGTTTACTTCATGTACAATTTATGAAAGAAATCTGCAATTGATCCTGAAATGTATGAAGCAAGTTTGTTTAGTAAAAACTTGCATTACGCATGAAGGTCTGACCTCAAGAAAGACTCTTTATGCACCTGTTAGTGGCAACAAGAAAGAGCGCCTTACTAGTATAGAAGCAACACACACACACACACACGGTTTGTGGTTACCATGACAGGAAATAGGCAGCCAAAGTGCAGTCATAGCATCCGGACAACACCCTTTGCTAAAACTTTGCAAATAAAGACATTGACATTAAAAAAATAAAATACAATTGCACTGTACATTAGACAATACAAAACCCAACAAAAACTCCTAGAAATGTACAAAAGACAGCTGGTCGACTACAGTTGAGATCATTCATATTGTGCAATGATGAGGCTACACAACACGTGTCCATTGGTTTATTAGTACATGTGTGCAAATTGGCTCTCTGAGCTTCTGTCCGTGGCCGTTCCTCTTATCTGACCAGGTGGAAGGTGAGCCAGTACATGAACACGGGCTGTGCTGCAGCGATGGCCATGGTCAGGTACATCCGCAGCTGGTTTTTGGCTCCTCGCACTAACCGTCCCTCCGCGGCGGCCTCAGACAGGATCTTTAGCCGGAGCGTTCGGATCTGTCAGCGACACAGAAGAGCAGGAGGCGTTACAAAGGTCACAGGTCAGATTTCCCACACCTTAGTTCACTTTAAATTCAAGGACTTAAAGTGGGGACACATATGTAGTGTTCAACATGTTAATGTGTTTTGATCAGGCTAATAAAAATATCATAACTTTTTTTGTATTTCCAATTTGCTAAAAACGTCCAATAATGCAATTTTTTTGACAGTTTTGCCTGAACTAAAACCATTGTAGTTGTTTTGTCATGGCAACATACAACATTACCTCACACAGGAAACACTTAAAGGGATAGTTCACTTTGAAATACATTTTTCAGCATCACAAACTTTTAAGGATTTCAAGGACCCGGGAACCTCGGTAACTGAAATCTGCTGCATATAGTTCAGGCATTCAAGCATCACTTCATTCAATACATGTCTATGTGGCGTATGAGTGAATTCACACATCAGCAACAGATGTTGCAACAGAGTCTCATATATATATATATATATATATATATATAAACTTCGGTTACAATGCATGGAAAGGAATATTATATACAGACTACCGTCGGTCAACGGTTTAAGGTTGGTAAGATGTTTTAATGCATGCAATGTTTTAATTGTACTAGACTAACTGAGAGCACTTGTATAAACTGTTGCACTCTACATTACATGTAAATGCATTTGACAGAGGTCTCTTCTGCTCACATAGACTGCATTTATTTGTCAAAAAAGAAAAGTTGTGAAACATTAAACTTAAACCAGCTGTTTCCTGTGCAAATTTACAGTAAAATTTTTCTGATAATTTATTCCTGTGAGCAAATCTGAAAGTCACATGATCCTACAGATATCATTCTAATATGATGATTTGATGCTCAAGAAAAATTTCTGATTATTATCAATGTTGAAAACAGTTATATACTTTAGGCAAAAAAAGTTTTCTTTTAAAATAGTTTTTTTTTTTTTTAATTATTATTACAAATGTCTTCCTTGCTGTATAAAAGTATTCATTTAGTGTTAAAAATCCGGTTGCAGGCAACATGTGAATGTGTTTTGTTCAGGCTAATAAAAATGTCAGGATTTTTTTTTAATTTCTAGTTTGCTAAAAATGTCCAGATGTTTTTTTCTGAACAAAAACCAAGAACCAGAAACACGACAGCTGGCCGTTTGAACTTCAGCAAAATGATGACTATAACGCTATACTATAAAATACAGCACTATATGAATCCATCTCTCGATACACACCGTAAAGACAAAGATAGACACGCAGCACCACAGCAGTGAGAGGTAATATCCCATCCGGCCAAACACAAGTCCTGCCACCACTCCCACGATCATCCTAAGGAAACACCAAACACACACCGCAGGAATTTACACAGCTTTGGAGAAAACTAGATTAGTAATACTAGTTATACACAATATGAGGACAATACTGGGAAACGATACACAATTAAATATCAAATGCAAATTAATTTAATTTCACTTTATTTTTCAGTTTCATTTCAATATATTTTTTAAAAGGATATGTATATGTGCAGCAAATATTACTCAATAGCACAACCTAGAGTCCAAAACACCAGATGATGATATTGTGTTGAATCTAGGGTAAACAGAAGAACCAATGTCCTCACCCGACATATTTGTATCCAGAAAAGGCCACCAGGTCGATGGTGGTGAGGTCAGTGTTAACGGTTACCAGATAAAGACTGAGGAGCACAGCCAGAACCTCGATGATGAGCCACACCAGGGCCGAGCTGGCCTGAATGCCCAAAATCTCTGGAGAAAACCTGAAATCAAGAGCAGAGAAGCAAAATCAGGTCAAAGTCTAAACAAACGAGTCATGACCAAAAGCAGAGAACATTGAGCAACAAGAGGTCACGAGCAGTCAGGACAATTACAGGAAGTTCCCCTCCCCTCTGAAAGTCCTGCATCATCAAAACACAGTTCCTCTCGTGATAGTACATCTGATAAATGAAGCTACAGGTCCATTCTTGGACTATTAGGACAGGGAATGATACATATTTAAAGCCTCCATGAAATAAAAAACTGATAATTCTTGTTTTTTTAAGGAATTTTGCAGTGTTCAATATAAATTATTTATCCACACACATGTTTATTCATGTGCCTTGAAGTTGCAACAGGGTTTCGTCAGTCAAATTTAAGACCTTTTTATGACCATTATGATTTAAATTTATGACCTACATGAATTATGAAAAATAACTTCCTTTCAAAAGACTTTTTTTTAATTGACTTTTATTAATTAAGTAATGTTTCATTATTTAAATGTTCCATTTTCTTAAGAGTAACAAACTGAAGGCTCCCTTTTCCTATCAATAACACAGGAACAACACTTCAGTCAATATATATCACAATAAAAAAAGCTTAAAGTCAGATTTTTGCTCCTAACTGAAAGTTGTAGAAGCTAGAGCATTAATTGTGGTTTTAAACTCTTTATAGTCAGAACATATCATGACAAACACTGGCAAAACAGGTGAACATTTCACAAATCTGAGGTAGAACATTCAAACATTTGTCATTTTTCCTTAACAAAATGAATATCTTTATTTCTTCTGCATGTGCTAATGGGGGATACTGTTTCAAGTCTTTGGTGTTGCCTGACTTTGATGGCACGTATCTTCATGAAATGTATGAAAAACAGTATAGCCTAAATACATTAAATACTGTAATTATATTCCATTAGTCCTTTACTACAATGTAATGTTTATTACATTAATATACAAGGCTAACGTTACAGTAAATCCATGGTAAGATGGTAATTTTTAGACGGAAATGCCTTTTGACTGTATCGTTGCGCACTGTTTCTACCAAGCGTGCCGCACCCAAATGTCAAAAAAGTTACTCGAATCAATGATCAGCACTAATAAAGACCCATTCTTACAGATCAGTAACTAAAAAAAGTTGATTTAGTTACCCTTTAAGGGCTCAAGGGTAAATGTTTAATTTGTCTTCTAACGACCTTGGCGTAAGCATTGCATTCCCACACAGTTGAACTCTCGCAGTATCTGCAATAGATAAGCTAAATTGGCTCTTACCGGTTCTGTGTGCCCAGAGCCAGTCCAGCAACCAGGACATACGTAATGAAACCCATCACTGCGGAGCCAGAGACAAACAAACACATACAGATGAACAATTCAGTGAGCATTTCCATGACTGTACACTTTCCCATCAAGATATAATAAGTTATTTTTTTATTTTTTAGCTAATTTTTAAATAGCACATCACTCAGTAAAGTTCATGAACTGAAAGATATTATTATTAGTATTATTATTATAGAATATGGCTTGGAGTCATACCGGGAATGTACAGATCTGGGGCGTTGATATCAAACCGTGGAGCAACTGGTGTATCCTGCTGATAGCTCACCTCCCAGTTCTACAGGACACACACATGAAAACCAAACAATAATTCTCTCATCATATTCAGTCCAAGTTACCAGTAACTGTCAATCTCAAAAAATGACAAGAAAGGCAACTTCATACATTTTATATATATATATATATATATATATATATATATACACACACACACACTACTGATCAAAAGTTTTAGATCGGTAAGATTTTTTTATGTTTTTAAAAGAAGTCTCTTCTGCTCACCAAGGCTGCAATTATTTGATAAAAAAAATAAATAATAATAATAATAAAGAAAATATTCGGTAATATTGTGAAATATTATTCCAATTTAAAACAGCGGTTTTCTACGTGAATATCTAGAATTTATTCCTGTGATCAAAGCTGAATTTATAGCATCATTACTCCAGTCTTCAGTGTCACATGATCCTACAGAAATTATTATAATATGATGCTCAAGAAACATTTAGGATTATTTTCCATGTTGAAAACAGTTTTTTGATGAATAGAAAGTTCAAAAGAACAGAATGGATCTGAAATGGAAAGCTTTTGTAATATTAATCACTACCATTCAAAAGTTTGGGGTCAGTAAGAATTTATTTTTTATTTTTGGGGGAAAGAAATTAGAAAATACTTTTATCCATCAAGGATGAGTTAAACTGATCAAAAGTTACAGTAAAGACATTTATAATGTTAGAAAAGATTATATTTTAAATAAATGCTGTTCTTTTGAACTTTCAATTCATCATAGAATTTTTGGGGAAAAAAATGGTACACGACTGTTTTCAACATTGAAAATAATAATTTATGCTTTTTGAGCATAAAATCAGCATATTAGGCTGCATTTACACTGCAGGTCTTGATGCCCAAATCCGATTTTCTGACTACATCCGATTGTTTTGACGACCTGCTTACATCATCTTTTAAAAGTGACCCATATCTGATTTTTGCACTTAAACTATACACTGCTGAAACTACCAAATGTAGACGTTCTGACCCGGGAAATTAAGTAAAACAGCACAAAATGCAATGGATACAGATGTGAATAAAATTATCCAGTGTTTTACTTTCCACAATATTTTGAAAAGTCATCAAAACATTGGTCTTGTACGGCGGAGAAAAAAGAGGGGAGGAGAGGCACTGTAGCCACGAGCGCTTAAAATGATGCCTCATATCTCGTGAAATGTCTTCATATCCTTTCTTCCATCGCGCCTGTAATCGTGCACTTTTTAATGACAGACGACTCGCATTTACTGGGGAATATCCGATTTGTCTGTTTACATGGCACACGCAAATGCACGTATCCGATTCATATCCGATTTATTACCACATGTGAATGAGGCCTGAATCCGATCTGAGAAAATCGGATTCAATGCGTTTTTTTCCTGCTTACACGTTCAACGGTCATATCCGATCTGTGCCACATGAGAGGAAAAAAAATCGGATTTGGGTCACTTGAACCATGCAGAGTAAACGAGGCCTTAGAATGATTTCTGAAGGATAATGTGACACTGAAAACTGATGTGTAATCAGCAACAGTAATGATGTTGAAAATTCAGCTTTCAAATTACATTTTAAAATATATTAAAATAGAAAACAGTCATTTTAAATTGTTAGAATATTTCACAATGTTACTGTTTGTCATTTTTTTTCATCAAATAAAGCAGGAATCTTAAGATTCAAGGAATCTTACTGATCTAAAACTTTTGACCGGTAGTGTATATATATATATATATATATATATATATAGTATATATGACGGCACCCATTGACTTCCATAGTATTTTTCATTTCCTACTATGGAAGTCAATGGCTACTGTCAACTGTTTGGTTACCAACATTTTTTTAAATATCTTCTTATGTGTTCTTCAACAGAAGAGGTTCTATACAGGTTTGGAATATACAGGTTTGGAACAAGTATTGACAATTTACATTTTTGTGTGAACTATCCCTTTAAGAAAAAAAAACCCACTATCAAGAACCCTATTCAGGCAGTAATTGTTTCTCATGTTGATGTCTGTAAAAATGAATTTGCATGCCACCTCAGTGATAAAACTCATGCATACCGTACGGATGGCGATTTGGAGGAGCGAGTTTTGTGATCCTACGAACCCAGGATTGTTCCAAGCACATGACATTTTATTAACTGCAGACAGTCCGCTGTAAACAAAATGTCATGTGCTTGGAATAATACGGATAAATTCATATTTAATTTAATAATATAAAAATAATGTCCTATTTATTGTGTGATTATTGAAATCCCCTCTTTAAAAATTGGAAGCTAGACATGCTTGAAATTAGGAAAATAATTGGAAATTAGAATAAATAATTTATTGCAGCTTCTTATTTACATTAGGTAAACAAAGCTGTTTGGTTTATTTTTTAATGTAATTGTATAGGCCATAATACAAGTTAAAAGTGTATTGCTGTAACGCCCCATTTCAAATGTTTACGTGCTTTTTTTCATAGGTGGAGAGATGATGAAATATTGTTCTCATAAATACTTCCCAGCATTTCAGTAATAAAAGGGTACATCTTTCAAATGCTTACGTGAAGCGCAACAGTTATGGTGTTATGCAGTGGTCAAAATGGATTTAACCTTGGATTTTGAATTCATTCCTATTTAAACTCAGAAATGTGGATTCAGACGGCAATCTCACAACCTTGGTGTTTGACAAAAAACAGTAGGTAATTCGGCCGAGGATTTATACGTGGGTGGTGGAAGAAAAACACTGACATTCTAGATTCGGACGGCAATAAAATCACTGACTAGCCCCTGTAAATGTTCAAAATCCCTCACGTCCCTATTAGAAACAGGTCTGTTAATGTGGTGGTGGTCTTACTTCATGCATGTAGGGAAAAACCAGCAGTCCAAGCTTCTTGCCAACATAAACCGTGTCTACTGCAAAATAGTACTTTAACTTAGAGATGGGGACGAATCGATCCAGCTGTTGACCAAAAAGAGAAGCATGTTACTACAATAAAATAGCAGTTAATCAAAATGCAGAATGCGATATTAATCGGAGCCGCAGGGTTGATTCTGATCCCACAACAAGATGGGCCTTGTTTCAACACAGCAATGAACATCACATGCTCTTCTACACCACAACAAACACACATATATGATATATGATCGAATGCACATCACACAGCTCATGATCATTTATACTCGTCTGACAGCTATCACATACGTTCTTGTCCATCATCTCTTTGCCGTGGGTGGCGAGACTGCTGCCGTAGGCCATGGCGAGGCTAGACATGGGGTCCGACAGAAAGGCCTGTCCTGGATACGCATCAGGCCCTTTCCCCACGTCGCCGTGACCGTGTTTGTTCACCACCGAACTAGTGTCGTCAAATAACGGGCTGGGGTCACTGGGGTCCCCTGAGGGGCCTCGCATCCTGATCTTCGGCTCTACAACACAAGAATCATATCAAAGTCAGCTATCATCCACATGACATAAACAAATGACTGTACATGTCCATAGCACACAGTCCCAAGTAGTCAGGTAGGTTTATCCAATAACCTTAAGGGTCAATTCAAATCATCTGACATGTAGAATGCAGATTTTTGATGTATTTAATGTTTGTAAACAACTGTAAAGGCGGAGGTACAGAGAGAAAAAAGCAAGAATAGAGATTCTAGTAACGTTAACTTAAATTAAAAGAAGAAACATGCCTAAATTTGCTATTGCTGTGAATATACACTTATTTAACAACCGAAAAAGCACACAACTGGTCAGATAGGCTAATATTCAAATAATAATGAAATGGGTGTCTTAAATAGTATTTCATAACTCACAAATCACAAATAATCACGTACGTAACTTACGCTGTCTGGACCCACTCTGGTTTAAAAAGTCCATTTCAAATATGGTATCTTTACTTAAATAGATAGGTAACAAAAGACAAATATAAACATTTATCAACACATTTAGACGTCTAAGCGAGAAGCTGCCGGTAGTGAAACTAAAATTAGCATCGCAAAAATAGCAGGAGAAATCGCAGCAGACATCACTTCCGGGTCAAGTATCCGGTTCAGCTCAGGATTGGACTGTAGTGCGATGACGTAAATACCTCAGTCTGTAATTAGTCTTTTTATTTATATTTGGCTTTTGTTATATTGCTTCGCGTTAATTATATTTATGTATTCGTTTTTATAAATAATAATTTATAAATGAAATATTTCGAATGATTGTGTGGAGGCTCAGAATCCCGCACAAATATAACATGGTGTTTTTACTTGAAAGTATAATAATTTAAAGATAATAATTTCGAGGGCAGAAGGCTGACATACAAAAGTACGCTTGCACCCAGTAACACCAGCATTTATCAAACTGAGACACTAAAATTCTCGTGTGTTTGGTCTAGCCTGACCAGCGCTGTGAAAAGTAACAAATATCACGTGATTAATGAAAAATCACGTAATTTTTTAGGAGGAGGGGAGAAGTCTGATATGTGTGCATTAGTGTTTATTTAATCGGTGTTTTGAGTTTGTTGAAGGTTAAGTTAGGAAAACCATCACATCCAAAGAACGATCTTCACCACGATTATGCAAACAATTGTATTTATTTATTTTTAATTATTACACTATAACAAAGAATGTCCAGCATTTGTGATTAAAAACAATCATCATTTGGATTGGAGTGTGCAACAAAAATGCAATATTTACATAGCAATAACCTAAAACGGACAATCTGCAAAATCTCTTTAATCGTTTTTTTTTTTTTTTTTTTTTTTTTTTTAGTTGTTTGTTTTAATTTAATTTCACTATTCTTGTGAGGGAAAAAAGTATGGGTAACACTTTACAATAAAGTTTCACAACATTAGTTAATGTACGAACTAACGCTAACTGTGATCAAAACATTTGTTACAGTATTAACCTTTGTTGACATTAATTAATAGAAATACACCTGTTCAATGCTTGTTCACGTTTCACTAATGTTAACAAAAACAACGTTTGATTTTAATAATGCATCAGTAAACGTTGAAATTAACATTAACAAAGATTGATAATGCAGTTCATTACTAGTTCTTGTTAACTATGAAACCTTATTGTAAAGTGTTGTCAAAATATTAAAAAGTTAATACATTTATATTTCTTGTGTGAGATGGTCAACAACTCACCGCAGTGTAAATAGTGCATGATTCAGTGTGAAAAAATGTGTGTTTGTTTGTTTGATTGATTGATGAGTATAACCCGTGAATCATATTCTCCATCCATGTAGTCTAGTATGATATTTCATTTGTGTCTTCATTAAAACACAAATGAAAAAAAAAAAAAAAAAAAAAAATATATATATATATATATATATATATATGTATGTATGTATATTAATAAAAACACTGATTCTGACTCTTCTGGTTACAATGGGGGAAGTTCCAGTTCTTCATAATTTTATAGAAGGTCATTTTAAATGATAATTTCTTTCTTCTGTCAAATGGACAGTTTCTCTGTAAACAGTATTTTTGGTCTGTGGCATCATTGTCTTTCACTCCACTGCATGTTCATAATGGCCACACACCACCCCGACATCCTCGTCATGAGAACAGTTGTTTTTGCCCAGTTTGGCGTGTTTGCAGTGCAAAAGAGTCCGTTCCGTTCCTTCACACTCGACGTCGTCCAGCAGGATCCTGACTTCGCTGGCTCCGGGTCCGAGCTCTGCTCTCTTGGCCACGCGCTCGACCACGGGGAATCCCAGCTGCCGGCAGACGACCGCCGCGGCCTGCGTGTTGAACATGTCGTCGCACACCGTTCCCCATTCGCCGCGCACGAAGATCTCGACCCGGCCGCGGTCCTTCCACCCGTCGGCGCTGACCAGCCGCACTGTCCCGGAGCGAGGCCGACCCCTGCGGTCTCCTTTTCTCCTGGGTTTCCCTCGACCTCGTTTCCCAGGTCTGCCTGTTTGGGTCTTTGCTGTGGGTGTGGGTTTGGGTTTTGGAGCCGGGGTCCAGTACGAGGGCCTGACGGGGGTGTTGGGTTTTGGAGCCGGGGTCCAGTACGAGGACCTGACGGTGGGTTTGGGTTTTGGAGCCGGGGTCCAGTACGAGGACCTGGCGGGGGTCAGTGGCCGAGGGGTCGTGTGGAGAGCACGTGGACGAGGCGTAGAGTGGCGGACTGTGGTCGTCCTGCGAGTTGGCGTTTGTGGTGCTCGCGGTCGTGGGGTTGGACTGGGTTTGGTTGGTTTTAGTTTGGGAATGGCAGTCGTTGAGGGTTTTTTGTTAATCACAAACTCTGTGGAACAAATCACACAGAGTCAAAAAACTAGCTGAACAATCCCCCTTTCTAGTGATTTCATTGCGATTGGTGTGCTTGTTTGTAGGGCTGCACGATTTGCCCAGATTTTTGTGATTTGACTGCAGGGAGCCCTTAAAGCTTATCTTTTGTTGAAAAGCACAGTTTTTAGTATATGAAGATGGTTGGCACATGTTGAGTTTTCAAATGCACGGTAAAATGACTCATGAGTTCATGAGTTGCAGGTTTCGCCATTTGATAATCAATATGCACTACGACATATCACAATTTTGGTTTTATTTTTCCTTAATCGTGCAGCCCTATTCAAATCGCATGCCTTCAATAGGAAGAATGAGTGTTTAATTTACCTTCTTTAGGACTGAAATGAATCAGTTTTCCCTTGATGTTGACTGGAGTGGGCTTAAAGCTGCATTTGCCTGGAGGGGCCCTCCTATAGTGAAGAAAATGTCCAACTGTTTATTTCACATCTTTTAACAGTAAGAACAAACATACCATTGCACGCCTAAAACTAGCTTTTTGCCACACCTGGCAATGGCCGGTGACTTAAGAAAATTTACCAGCCACAAACATTTTTCATTAAACTGTTCTTGCAAAAAAAGGCTGTTATGACAAACTCTCGATACCAAAGAACTAACCTAACTATATTATAAGGGGTGGTAAAATGCCATTTCCACAAGATGTAAAATAAATCTCTGATGTCCCCAGAGTGTGTATGTGAAGTTTTAGCACAAAATACCCCACAGATATTTTTATATAGGATGTTCAAGTTGACACTTTTTGAGGGTTAGCAAAAACGCATCGTTTTGTGCCTGGCCCTTTAAATGCACATGAGCTGCTGCTCCCGCCACAATGGGCGGAGCTTCAAGAGCTCGCGTGTGTTTGTGTTAGCAGCTGCGATTTCCTCACGCAGACACACGCTAAAATGACAGAAAATGTTCTCCCTTTAAAGTTAAAACGGAGTCAGTCAAAGATGGAGAGACTAAGAAGAAGTGACAACATGTAGAATGCAACAGGACGTCTCTGAATGGTTAGTGGATGAATTTATGTTGATGATGTGGAGTTCTATCTCAAATTAGCATATTCTGTCATGTAATCTATAAATCACTCGTATAGGAACTGTTGTGAGACGCACACAGAGTGACTTTCTATTGCATGTGAAAAGATGGATGCTAAAGTTTTAGCTGACTCACAACTTTTCCTCTTCGCAACATGGACCGTGTTCCCGGGGGCGGGGTTTATGTACATTTTGGGGTTGGTGATGTCACTAATGCTGCGTTCCAAGCAGGTTTTTGAGCACGTAAATCACGACTTCAAACCACGACTTACGACTTTGTAGCATTCCACGTCATTCACGCCAAACTACCTAGATGTAAACAAACCAGCATGGCGGACCTTATGGGGCTCACGCGCATTTGTAATAATTTCTAACGCCAAAGGTGCTTACTCCTTGTTTATTTGTGGGAAACTGAGGAGGAAAAATAGCGCATGAGGCAAGATAAGCTGTTATACCTTTTATTTTACTTTATTTGTATATTTGGAAATGTATTTGGTATTATTAATTTATCCTTGCACTCAATGAACTGAAAACTAGTTAACGTTATATTGTCCTAAAGAGTATTCTCACCGAGTACCGCCTGCAGGAACACTGCATCCGTAGGGGCTGTCATTGTAGTTTTGTATATGTTCGCGGGCTATGTGACGTCAGAACTCGTAACTGGGAGTACATCGGTCTAGTACGAGTTCACGGGTGGGAAGTCACGTTTGACTGCCGTTCCAGTGCACTTTCATGAGTATAAGGTTGGAAAAACACGAGTTACAGGTTGCCTGGAACGCGGCATAACCCTGGAGGAATGTTGTGTAGTTCTACCAGCCGTTTGTTGTAGTCCGTAAAAAAACGATTTCTTTAAAAGCAAATATCTTCCTTTGCTTTGAACTTTGAGCGTTGTAACTTTGATAATGTTGTTTATGCTCAAACAGCAACATTACACACTAACTAAAGTCAGAAAAGTGGAATCATACTTTACCACCCCTTTAAAGACAATTAATAGGAGTTTTCAGGTAGAGACATTGAATAAAGTAACCAAAGGTAAAATACCACTGCATAGTCTTCATAAATAAAGATTAATCCTTATTAAAAGGTACAGAAGTTATTCAGTCAAGATCAGTGAAGAGTTTTGTTTATTTGCCTTTTGTTGTTTGATTAACATTAAAAATACACAGCAGCTTAAATATTAGGCTGCTGTCACTTTCAGACTAATGCACGGATCCAACACACTGATACTGGTATACATCTTTCTCTACTGTTTACGTTTATTAAAGCCATAACCAGTTATGTTAACTTGGATACTCACAGAGAATTTTTTTTGTGAATTTGTTCGTTCAAGAGCAAGAAGACGTGAAAGATAGCTCAATTCAGTATTTGCTTCAGACGTTTGCACACAAAACTTTCCATAAGTAACAAATTTAGTTATTTGGCCAAGGCTTAAAGTCTTGTGACGATGCAACGCTAGCTGTTAATTGTCACAAACAATCTTCATATTTGTTTTAGGGTTTTGTTTTCACAACATTGCATTGTTAGAATTCATAAAAATATTACCGGCCAACTGCCCGTTAACACCATTTTTATTATTCGCATTTGGCGCTTGACGTTTGTTAATTTTAGGCCTTGCTTACACACATAACTGAACAACAACAGGGGAAAAAAAGCATAAATTAAAGGATTTTTGGTAACACTTTACAATAAGGTTCATTAGTTAACA